TCACTCGCTTAGTCAATGCCTGTAAACTTTAATCGCGCTATGGATATATTGTCACTGCGTTTACTTATGCTCTCTAATGACTGAGTTGAGTTATGGGAAAGCTGGTATTGGCGTCATGATCCAAAGGGGGATAGAAGGAAAAAGGGTGGGTGGGAGGGAAAAGGAAAATGACGACTACCAGAGAGAGCGAGAGCACAGCAGATCAAACCAGACCCCAAAATGTGCCGAAAGAAACGCTAGCATAGAAAGGCAATAATTATTGCTAGGTTGCTCAGCCCTTATATACGCATTGTTAACCAGTGAGAATATTAATTTATGCATATTAATTTGTTCATTCACGAGTGGCGTCGTTCGTGACGCTTGCGCAGTGCCTGTTCACAATGTTGTTTGGTGTGAACATGACGTCATAAACTCACCTTGTAACTGATAACCAACCTGACGATTCAGTATCAGGACAAGCTCCGACAAACACAGCAGCAGAATGGACGCTTGGGTTTTTCTCGAGATATAGCTCTACAATGTTTACACCGATATTCTTTCTTGAAGAAAGGACAGTTTTCCAATGGAACAGGACAAATGCATTGTATATGCAGCCATCAAACTTGCTAGTAGATATTCCACCAAGGACGATCTTGTCTGGCTTACTAAAGCTGGCTTTGACGTCGTTATCCTCTTTTTGGCCTTTCGTCACCACCGTCCGCGCTATAGTTGATCAGCTTTCCGTATCTTTTAAACTCTATTCTGTGTCTCTGTCCATCGCAAAACGTTTTGTTTACAGGAGCTGTCATTTCCACTTTAAATCTCTATCTCCAAGTCTGTAATTAAAAGCGATTTTATTTTTTTCCTCCAAAGAAAGTTTGAAAAAATTATCAGTGTCTCTGCTTGTCACAAGCATTAAATCTCCCTTGCAACTTGTTGACGAGAATTCAAGTCTAAAGGTGGCTCCTAGGAAGGCTGAAGTCTTGTTGAAATGGTACTCGATGTAGCTTGTCTTTGCTCTGAAAGTAACTCCATTGCCCAAGTCTGTTTAAAAAAAGTTTAAATAATGATTAATCGAAATAATGGAAATAATAATCGAAATAACAATCGAAATAACTCCCATATAAAAGTGACGGGGGGTGATCGTTCGTAATTTTGAAAACCCTCAAAGGTACCAAAATCTTGTTTTGTGGGTGTGGCTCGAATTAATTTTCACCCCTAAGAGGTACCAATTTTAAGACGAAACCAGCACCCGTCATATTGTTTTTTTTCCGGCTTAATACCCTAAAAGGTACCGGAATAACTCTAACGTATAACGGTAGTCATTTTATATTTTAACATCCTAAGCGGTACCAAAGCACGAATTTTAACCCCCAAAAGTACGACGATCACCCCCGTCACTTTTATATGGAAGTCCCCCCCCCCCCCCGGCGATGCCATGTGAAAGTGGATTTGTCCCAAAACATAACGCGAGGGTAATGCCCTGGGCCCGGTTGTTCAAAGGACGATTAAGCTAATCCAGGATTAGCGTGAATATTGATTTCAGTTTTGTAACTTTTCAGTGAGGTTTTCTATTTATATTTTTGTCCTTCAGTTTTGACTTTGACTGATCTCAAACTATGCAAAAAATTCGAAAGGAAAAAAACACTTTTATACAAGAGAAATTCAAACATTGATTGACTTTTAATCCTGGAATAGCGTTAATCGGCTCTCGAACAACCGGGCCCAGGCCTCGAACACGTGACAACGAGATTAGGCAAACCATTTTTTTTTTTGGGGGGGGGGGGGGGTGGTTATCAATTCTCAATAAACGTTCCCTTTTTATAACACGTTTTTCAACGAATACAATGATTTCGAGGAGCACTGGGGAAACAGCTGCCCAGTAGTTCTTTCCTTTTAAAACCTATCACTAGCGAGAATACATTTATTGTAATTGGTGGTGCTCCTCTAAACAAAGTTCATTATTTTTTATTACTACAGATTGAAATTGAAAAAAAGCTGTCACTAAATATATTTATTGTGTTACCACTTACCGTAGGAGAGAGCTTGCTTTGAAACATAACAGGGCTAAACAAACATAACAAAGAGAGGTGTTAAAATATTTTATTAGAAAGAGCAATAAATATTTTACCATGTTTTTTCGTTTTTTTTTGTTTTGTAGGTCGATTTCAATACAACTGAGAAAGCTGTTTTGAAATCACTGATTATCATAGATTTATAAACCGTACGGAATGCTTGCCCAGTGTATATATTGTGCTTCTAAATTGGAATAAATTAAAATCTTTAATTATAATGAGGACTCAACGCACTTAAAATTAACCGGTCAAAACAAGTAATAGCGAAGGCCATTTCACTAAAAAAAATGACCGCAAGTGTTTATTTTAAATACCATCTGCCTACTCATTTTCTAATCTATATACAGCAGAAATATTATTCTTTTCAATTTATTCTTGATCCTAAAATCCTTGGAATTACATGGGTAGTTTAAGGAACAGGGAAGAGAAAAAAAAGTCAGATTCGTTATTTTCATGGTGTGGCACTTTTTTTTTAATTATGGACAAAACAAAAATAAATCTCGAGCTCTGCCGAGCTATTAATATTTATGCAGCGATTGTTGTGATCTTCTGTATGCTTTGTTATACATTACGGCTTTTTTCAAATTTGAATTTGTATAGATCTGTCGAGGGTACATCGCGGAAAATCACGCCGGATTTCTTTTATCTTTCAAAAGAAACTGCATGCAAAATCTTCCATCCAGAAGATTAGTTTTCTATTATTCATACAGCGGAACTATTGCCAGTGAGTATTCTGGCAGGGATTGAAAAATAATAGCACCTAGGCGAATTTTGTTCTTATAACAAACGCAAAAATTCTCTCCGACCAGTGATTTTATTACAAGAATCCAATTTCTCTCAGATAATTGTAATCTCAAATGTTCACATTGTGTCAGAAATGTTCAGTCAAACCTTAATGGAGTTCACTGAATCAAAGTCGTAGTGCAATTATTCTTAAATTTGCCTCTCGTATCACAGTTTGATTTTTAAACATTCCAGTTCCTGCTATAGATTAGGACTCACCAGCCAGCGAGATTGCAAATTGGCACCAAAGACGTTCTCTCTTCATCTTGCATCCACGTTAAAAATATGGTAATCCCAAAATTACGTGCTTAATAAAAAGAAGTATAAACTGTGCGCGCACTAGAGTTATTGACAAATGTCCTTTGGCGCCAGAGACAATGTTGCCTGGCGAGAGAGAGTATTATAATGAGGCGTTTTCTGTCAGAACTCAAACAAGTGTTAAATTATTGATAAATGGAGACCGATGGCTTCCATTGATGACATAAAAGCTCGAGAGTTTCATTTTATGGATTAAAACGAATATCTCTGCCTACACCTTTATTGATATTCCTGTGATAACAGGGTTTTTTTAAATTTCTTATTAAATTCTGTTTGGTAGCTGTATGAAGAATCGTTTGGTTACTTCAACTCCCCCGTGCTACAAAATTATGTGTCCACATTGATGTATATTTAATAATATTTATTATTTAAATCGTGTTTTAAGCGAAGAGTTTTGCATGTCTTTTCTTGGAATAATATCCAACTCATTATACATTTTAACTTCGGCTTAACCTTATTATTTTATACAGTATATAATTATCGTTAGCTAGAATATACGTTCATCAAGTTTAAGTTGAATGATCCCAGTTAAAAGTTAGCTGAACTGTCAACTAAAACGCACATTAATTCTAAAAAAAACAAAAATTTATGTGTGTGTTTATCTTGAATTCTATACAAAAAATAAATAAGATATTGTTTATTTATATTTTTATTTTGTGACGGCTTTGGAATCAACCAATCAATCTTTATTTCACTCTCACCATAAATTACAACAATAAACAAAATCATAATCAGTGTAAAATGAGTGGAGTCCAAAGAAAGCAAAGCTTGTAATATGGACCCACCGGCAAATAAAACAAAATGTATACATGGCATATATGATGAAATCTATATAGATAGCAACTGATACAGTACCCGGTAGTGCGCATGAGCAGAGTATCAAAGCGATCGTTGCGATCATATGGAAACCAAGCTTAAGTGTAGGCAACCAATCAAAAGAAAGCGGACAAATAAATCGATTAATTCGAATAAAGCTATATGTTGTTTGTTCCTCGTGTATTCGAGAGAGATTTGGTGCACACAGGAGCATATCACCCCGGAGCCTCTATCTATGATGATTAGGGACAACAGCGTAGTTACACCTTCGGCTATTTTTAGAAACAAAGCAGAACAGCAAAAGTCATTGTATTGTATTGTTTTGTTTTGTACTGTTTTGTGTTGTTTTGTATTGTAGCAGGAACAATCTCATTGGTTACACGTGGGTGCGTGGCTCATGACATCATGTTTTCGCGGCAAAAATAATTCTAAAAATAGCTCAAGGTGTAACTTCGCCGAGGCATAGGCCCAATAAGGGAGATGGAGGCTCCGGGGTAATATGCTCCTGGTGCACATATGGCAAGTGAAAAAGTCGGGCTGATCAAGCAACGCTGGCAACCGGTGACGTTCGCTAGTGTTCATGCTTTAAGCCAATAGGCCATTTTCCGAGTTCCATTAACCTCAGTTTTCAAAACGAGTCCAAGTGCGAAAATGAGTTTTTATCACAAGTTCATTCAAATGCAAATCAAACTCGTTTTCATATGAAAGGTTTCGCACTTGGACTCGTTTTGAGACAGAGACAAAAGGCAACTCGGAAATGGCCTATTCTGTCTTCCTGCCGCTTGCGTGGCTCTGCAATTCAATAACCGTCAGGAGCCCATTACCCGGAGCCTCCATACGTGTAATGGGCTCCTGTAACCGTATAATTTATAATTACTGCTCAAGCCAAACCAAGAGAAAATATTTATAAGTACGTTAAATTCAGTCAACAAAAAAAAACAGAAAAACAACAAAACACGCAATAATAGAGCAAATAGAGCAAACCAGTAATTTAACTTATTTGTGAAATTTAAAAAAAAAGTTAAGTCAGGGCCTGTCCGGGAGTCGAACCCGGGACCTCTCGCACGCACCCAAAGCGAGAATCATGCCACTAGACCAACAGGCCTTGCACGATCAGACTTTTTGTAATCAACATAAATATAACGGGTACCTGCCTGACAGGTCCCCAAACAGCATTACCCACAAAGTTTTAAGTTGCGTTCTTATACCGGTTAGGCTCCGCCAATAATTATGCTCTATTGCATAATCCCTTCTGTCAAAATCAGTGGTACTGAACAGTTATCACACGATAATCCTTACTAATAATGCAATAAGATCAAGAGAGGATGATCATCCTCTCTTGATAAGATATAATAGAGAACTTCTAGAACAAAGTCGGGCGGTCTAACAAGTCTACATTTCTGTTGAGTTATTCGCCAGCATTTCCGAGTAGCTTGCCGTGTCGCTGACTGAATAATACCTTTCTCATATTTTCACCAAGCTAAAAATATTCCATCATTTATTTCCACACATATAGTATGCGGGATGTTTGGCACATTTGAACCTCTACTAGTTATATGGCCTAAGCTCCCACGAGTCTCATGTAACTCAGTGGTAGAGCGTCCGACTGATGTGCAAAAGCAGTCATAGATTCGACTCCTAGCTCGGGGAGAGCATAACCAGTTGAAGTATATTACACCAAAGCGGGTTCTGCAGGCTGACACTGTTCCAGTTAAGGTAACAATAATATTGTTTACTTTGAGGTTCTCCCCGAGTTCTCTCCGAGAAGCTTTTGTCGCTAACTGAATAACATATTTCTCATTGACAAATAAATGCATACTTTGTATAGCACGTCATATCCATCTTCCCATCGTCCCCCCCCCCCCCCCCCCCCCCCCCCCGCGCGCTCTTTCTCCCCTTTTTCCCCTGCCAAGGAATCGTCTGCAGAGGAGAGAGAGAGGGAACCTTATATTACTCATGATCATAACCAGTTGCTGCATTTCAAAATGAAAAGAAATACAGTACACATTACATTTGGCCTGATAAGCCACTGGCTGGTAGTGAGTCAAGGGCAAACAAACAACTGACCGTGAATTAATACCACTGGTGTCTCGTGGGTTTCCGTGGATCGATCCCAAGGAATATTTCCTTTCGCCATGAAAAGTTTATTCATTGAAAATACAAGAAATCCGTTTTTCCAAGATTATTGAAGCTACGACAACGAAACTTGAAGGGTATATAGTACGTTGAACAATGTTCTTTTGACGTATGAAACACGGCATGATGACGTCATATGACGTAGAAATTACGTCATTATTTCCGAACAGCCGCCATCTTAGATCCGCCATCTTAGATTTCTGGATTTTTCCAAAATGTCAGAAAACCTTAAAAGTAAACAAAACCAATAAAAGAATGCGGCAATGATCAAAAAAGGTAAAATTATTTCCAGAAAGTTATTTTCTTCCCTAACTGACATGAAAATTCTAAATTTAGAAAAACATGCCTGTCAAAATATGGTTGTCATGGTAACAGCAAGTTCCATGAACAATGAAATGTCATACCAAATTGTTCCCAGGTAAATTTTAGGTAAAATCGAAAAGTTTAGCGGCTTTTACTTCAATATTACAAAAAAGTTATTAACGGTTAAGCTCCACACCGTTCCGACTAAAGCTGTAAGAAATATTGCTATATTCTTGTGCATATAGCGTCTGTCATGAAGTCGTCTAAACGTGCAAACGTCACTTTCCGAAAACATTGTTTCACTGTGTGAAACCAATCAAGCTGCTCCGATCAAAAAAAGAAAAAAATCATCCGAGAAAGAGAAAATATTTATAAGTACGTGTTAATTTCAGTCAAAAAGAAAACAGAAAAACAACAAAACACGCAGTAATAGAGCAAAACCAGTAATTTAACGTCTGTGAAATTTAAAAAAAGTTAAGTCAGGGCCTGTCCGGGAGTCGAACCGGGACCTCTCGCACCCAAAGCGAGAATCATGCCACTAGACCAACAGGCCTTGCACGACTAGAGTTATTTGAATAAACATACCGGTACATATAAAACAGGTACCTTTTTTCACGTCCGTCCCTTTACCGTTTAGAATTAATCCACCGAATATTTCCATTGCATCATCGGTCAAAACCGTGTATTATTTTCCCCTATTACGTAATTTCACCATATAAGGTCAAGAGAACACGCAAAATATGAGACGGCATTGACCAGTTGAACAGAGCGAATATGGAAAATAGCATAAAAAAATTGCAGTAGAATAATAAATCCCTTATTCGATGGTGTAACATATAATTGCTAATTGCTCGCATTTTTCCTCGCTCCTACGGTGGCTCGGAAAAATACTACGCAACTCGCAAAATATCCGCGCGTATATGTTAAACCATCGAATAAGGTGTATATATTCTTAACGCTTGATGTTTTCCGGGGATATTGTTCATTAAGTTCATTCCAAGTAAGGGACTGGTCAAAAAGTATAGAGTGGGGTGGGCGGAGCAGAGAGGGGGTGGGTCATCAGTTTTTGAGCCCTTAGTAAGGGGTGGGTCGTTCAATTTCCAGCTACCATGGGGGTGGGTCATCCTATTTATAACAGGAATAGGCAAGAAAAAGCGGTTTTTCGGTTTTGGTTATTCGTTTGCCTAGTTTCTAGGCCTCTTTATTTCACCTCGGTCAATCCCTGTAGGTTCACGTGGTGCGTCTCCTTTGATTCAATAAAAGAATCATTCAATATACTTTTTCGTTTCATATTTTGATTGGCCCGGACAGGAGCCCATTATGGCCCGGATGATATCTGTTTTTAGTTTTTTTTTACTAATGTGATGTGTTGAAGTAACAAGTATTATTGAAAATGTCCTGTGGAAAACGCAGGAAATGTCATTTCCGATCCGAGACCCTAAATTTCAAAATGTTTTGGGCAGGCATGCCCCCAAACCCTCCTAGTGGGGTGCGCCTTTGGTGCTCTAAATAGTTTCTTCGTGAAAAAATGAAGATGCCAACGAACCTAACCAATGTGAAGATGTCAGTGAATTTGTTGACAATTATGAAGGCAACGAATTCGATGAAAGCAGCGATGAAGAGGTGGGGCTCGATGTAGTTTTTAAAGACACGTTAGAGACGGAAAAACTCGTCTGATACGGGTTATCCGTCTCGGACGAGTTTCCCGTCTCTAGTGTGAAAAACGGCCAATGATTTCGAATAAAATGTCTTCATCCCTCTTAAAAAGGAAAACTAAATTAAACGCCTTTATTTAATTTACTAAAGTATACGCCAAAAATAACAGCTATATTTCGCTGTTGTATCAAGGGTTGGGGGGTTGAGGTTTGTGAATTTGCTGTTTTGATCATTATCATTTGCGGTTTTCGGTTTTGAGCGATTTTATTGCGGTTTTTCTGTTTTGACGGAAAGTTTGAGCGGTTTTCCGGTTTCTAATAGGTCCCAATGCCCCTCCTGGAGCAGTTGGCCACACATTTGAAGCGGGCAGCTTTACCGATCTTCTATTTTTGTACATAAAACACATCTAGCCGAAATTAATATTATAAAAAACCCTCTCAAACCTCTTTTGTGTCTTTATATAAAACGTAATTTTATATAATATATGGATGTTTTTTTTTTGCATTTCATTGTTGTACTGTTTCCATCTACAAGACTACTGAAGTAAAAGGCAACTAAAATGAATCTTGGATTATCACCGAGAACTGTACATGGCTTGTATATATTTTTCATCTTGTGTCTTTCATTTCATAAATTGCTGATAAAATTATTGATATATTGTTCCATAAACTCGCGTATTAGACATACTTTAGATGCTTTTGTATTTGGTTAAGAAATCTAAACGTAAATCAAACCACCACAAGTTCATACGCAAATGTGGTTGAATTGGATTATGCAACCAAAAATTTCATGTTTTATAAGGGTGGGTCATGTAATTTTCAACCTTCATTTAGGGGTGCTCACTCAGTTTTGTGCCAAAAGGAAGGGGTGGGCCATGTGTTTTTTATCCACCACATTTCCAAATGCTCCGGCCTACCCCCCCCCCCCCCCCCTATACTTTTTGACCAGTCCCTAAGGGTATAGAAGAAAGGGATGCAGATGCAGTGTTTCTACTGTAGGTATGTGAAAGGACCAAAGGGGTACCATTTTCTATGGAAGCTAAGGTATATAAAAGGGTCACCTTTTTTGTCAAAAATGGTATATAAAAGGGTAACAGTTTGGACCTCGGGGTGGAGCCTCCCGGTATAAAACTTTGCTGAGTACCCGGCCGTCCCGAGCCAATAGCATCTTGATAAATCGATAGATGTGTTGAGACCAGTTTTGTTCCCGAATCATATAAACTTGGAGTTTTTGTATTAAACTGGTTTAGCGGTTTGAAGTTTACTCGTTCTCGTTAAAAAAACGTAAATAACATTTTATCAATTTATCTTTGTATATTGAAAAAAAAAAAGATGTTTCCGGCAGGGCTCGAACCTGCGACCTTCCGCGTGTGAGGCGGACGTGATAACCACTACACTACGGAAACTGCGTTACACAGATTGACCTAATATTAGAAACCCGTGCGATGTCTCCACGACTCCCTCTATTTCAAACAGTGATTGATGCGCAATGGCATGTTCTATATTTTCATGCAAATGAAAACGTTGAACAGATGTTTAAAATACTTTAGCTATGTGAACATGTGATGAGATATATGAGGTCACAGTAAATAAATAAGGAAAAGTATGTACGAGGAATAGGCAAGAGTAGACTGGACTAGAGTGAAATGGCTGACTAGAAGTCGGCTTTGAGTGGAATGGACTTGACTGGCCTCTTGTCTGAATGAAACAAGGAAGTACTAAACGAGGGTTTATAAAATGAGGTACCGACTGCAAAACAAGGACTCAAACTAAAGTACTTAATAGTAAGTAACATAGTCACATATTCCTTTTGACCCCGAACAAGATATGCCGGGGTGAAAATAGTTACATGAGACATAGAGTGAGCTAAATAATGGGGATTTCCCAGCGTTGCTGAAGGGGCATGCGAGGGGCGCATAAAATAATAATAATTTTAAGTTCTTTTCTGCGCGTTTTAAAAATCTCAACGCGCTTACAAATATGCAATCATAACTGAACTCACTAACCCATGACCTCCTGTTTACTAGACAGGCGCTCTAACCAACTGAGCTACGGCGCCATATGTGAGACAACAGCGCGTCTAATTCAGATGTATTCTTTACATCATGCAGAAACTTGAACGATTATTTCACAGTAGGCCATTTCCGAATTGTCTTTTGCCTTCTGCTTATTTTCATGCAAATCCAAATAATTTTCATTTGATGGTTTCGCATCAGGACTCGTTTAGAGGCAACTCGGTGATACCCTATTGAAGTATTGTAAGCTTGGTTCCTTGCGCATTGTATCATGCAGGGTGTATAACAATAGGCCATTTCCGAGTTGCCTTTTGCCTCTGTTTCAAAACGAGTGCTGGTGCACAACCTTTAATATGGAAATGAGTTTTACCTGCACGTTTATTGTCTTACACATCAAACTCATTTCTATTTGAATGGTTGTGCACCAAGACTCGTTTTTAAAACAGAGGCAAAAGACAACTCGGAAATGGCCTATTAGAGACGTCGTGAATCCGAAAAAAAGGCTCTGCGGGAATCTTACCCTGTGTGGCAAAGCCATATATAGTTGCGTATCATCCGCGTAGAACAAACAGGTCAAGTTATGACAGGAAATTATATCTTGAAGGGGGGCTATATACAGTGTAAATAGCAGAGGACCAAGTATTGAACCCTGTGGTACACCATACTGTAGGATACGCAACCTCGTTCCCAGGGTCTCTCATCTTCCCGCCCCCTGGAGCGAGAGAAGAGAGACCCTGGTCTGGTCTGGTCTGGTCTGGTCACGTGGTGTCCCAGAATCTGGGATGTAGCAAATAAAAGATTAGTGGGAGGGCAGATGAGTGTGAAATTTGTCTCCACTTTGGCCTAGGGGTGAGCGGAAAGTGTTGTAAACCAAAATAATCGCATGTGGACGTGCTTTTGTGGTAAACATTTTTGCCGTTCCGAGACGCCAAAAAGACGATTAACGGACGATTAAAGAATTGTGTAGCCTTCAAGACCGCGATCAAGGAAAGCTAGGGTTCTTAGATGGTCTTAGATGTATCGAAAGATCGCCATCTGTACACTGCCGTACAACGCCTGGACAACGCACATTTGATCAAGATCTGCGAAGACGAAGGAATCGAAAGCCCGGGGTCTAAAGCGGGTTAATGTTTAGAATCCAGGACAGGAAAGGGATAAAAGAAAATCTTTATAGGTTTTATTTATTCGGCGGCGATGTTTTGCTTGATTCTTTATCTGGTTATTTGACGGTCTCGTGTATTTCGTCGCTACCGGCGGCGTTGCGAAAATGATAAAAGGTGACAAAATGATCACCGACCAGAGCAAGTCTCCGCGATCGACAAGAAAATTCAACCCAACTCCAGGTAAATTACGTACTGTTGATTGTTTCTGTTTGTTTTTATTGCACCGCCTTACCTTTACCCTTTAAGGATATATCTTTTAAAAACAGGAAAATTCGATATGCAACGTGCATTCACTTTGTTTTACATTTATGAGATGTGTACGTGATGTGTTAGATTTTACAGCGCTTAGACTAAGAGTCAGCGACTCGCAAAATATAAGCTTGGTTTATTAAACTTGAATTAAGCCCATGGTGTCTTAATATTTTTCTTTCCTCTTTGTGGAAATGTTCAGACGTCAGTGTAATTTATATAATGATGACGCTTTGACAATTGACTCCGATACGACATTGACCTTCGAGACCTTGCCTGCCGTGGAGCAGCGCTAGCGCGCTGGAAATTCATCGATTTTCCATAGACATCTCGGCCACAGTAAATTGCCTCTAAACATTGGAGTAACTGCTGCAAACAGCGAACTGAAGACTGCTGTATAAAAACATTGCTTGCCTGACAGTGTGAACAGTGGCCGTTTTAATAGCTTCTGGCCTCGCTTTGTTGTCGACAAAAGAAAGCGCGACAAAGATTCGTAATTATAGGAGCCCTCCCTGGGGTTGAAAATGTCAATTAGACACGTGACCAGACCAGACCAGGGTCTCTCTTCTCTCGCTCTAGGGGGCGGGAAGATGAGAGACCCTGGGAACGAGGTTGTAGGATACGAGGGGTGGATACTGTATCGCCAATGATTATTGATTGAGAGCGATTATGAAGGTAGGATTTGAACCAGTTCAGCGTGTCTTGCGTAAAGCCAAAGTAGGTTTTAAGTCTTTCTATAAGGATAGTGTGATCAATAGTGTCAAAGGCTGCTGACAAGTCAAGCAGTACTAGCATTACATTACATAAAAGGTCCTGAGAATCGTCCTGGAGAACTTTACATCCAAGGAACAAGTTGTTTTAAGGCCAAATTAAAGCTACGTGCATAAATCATGCAGCGATTGCCTCTTTGCTTGACCAAAGTCTGAAAAAATATTCCATTATATAAACCTTTACTTGGTGTGAAGTCGCAATATCTTATGATGTCGTGATGTCACTTTGCTTTTACAATTATTTGATATTTAGTCCGTGCTTTAGCACTGGCGCTTGTGTTACAGTGTGGCATCTAAAACTTTTGCTAATAAAATGTTAGTATGGCTTTGCTATCAAATCTGTTCGTCGAAGAAAAAGCAGACGTCCCCGGGTGGGCTTGAACCACCAACCGTTTCGGTTAACAGCCGAACGCGCTAACCGATTGCGCCACGGAGACTGTCCTTCGCTTCAAAAGAGAAATATATATGAAGAATAATTATAATGATTTAGGTACTTATAGGTAAACAAGGTAATACTTGAAATGGTTCTTCGAATTCACTAATCTACCGTATTGTTGAAGAGCAGTTTATCCCATGGGTTGCCGTATATTACCAAACTTATCGTAAGGCTTTTACCCACAATTAAAATCGAGTTGTATCGAGTTGGCATGAATAGGAAATTATAAAACACAATATGTGACGTGATACACAGCCTGTGAAGATCAAGATATGGCAAGTAACCATCACGACCATGCTAAAAACAAATTGAAGCAGGTGCCGTTATACTACCAGCCACAGGTACTCAGAAGATTGGTAGATTAAAAACATATATTAAAACAGATTGCAGTATCTGGCCTGTTGGTCTAGTGGCATGATTCTCGCTTAGGGTGCGAGAGGTCCCGGGTTCGACTCCCGGACAGGCCCGGGGATTTTTATTTTTTAATCGGAACAGCTTGACTGATCGTCTATCGCAAACAGTTACACGTAAAAGTAAAAAAATTTATTCAGTAGTTAATGATTTTTTTTTTTTATATATTTAGATATGATGTCCGTATGCTGGGTACACCATAGGTTTTGCTGTTGCGATTTGATCGGACAAAGGCCGATTCGAGTCGCGCCACAAGTAAGCTACAAGTGACCTCCGCTACTCAAGAAGACTCATCTTCTAGCCTTTCTGAACTGATCAAAAAAGCTTGCCACCCAGGGTAAGATTCCCGCAGAGCCTTTTTCGGATTCACGACGTCTCTAATAGGCCATTTCCGAGTTGCCTTTTGCCTCTGTTTTAAAACGAGTCTTGGTGCACAACCATTCAAATAGAAATGAGTTTGATGTGTAAGACAATAAACGTGCAGGTAAAACTCATTTCCATATTAAAGGTTGTGCACCAGCACTCGTTTTGAAACAGAGGCAAAAGGCAACTCGGAATTTGCCTATTGTTATACCCTGCATGAAATACAATGCGCAAGGAACCAAGCTTACAATACTTCAATAGGGTATCACCGAGTTGTCTTGCCTCTAAACGAGTCCTGATGCGAAACCACCAAATGAAAATTATTTGGATTTGCATGAAAATACGCAGAAAGCAAAAGACAATTCGGAAATGGCCTACTGTGAAATAATCGTTCAAGTTTCTGCATGATGTAAAGAATACATCTGAATTAGACGCGCTGTTGTCTCACACATGGCGCCGTAGTTCAGTTGGTTAGAGCGCCTGTCTAGTGAACAGGAGGTCATGGGTTCAAATCCCATCGGTGCCTACGATAAGGATATTATTTATTTTTAGTTTTAATAGCTTATAATAATTGTCCCTTTTGTTGTTGTTGTTGTTGTTTTAATTTTTTTTTTTTTTTTTTCATGGTGAGTCTGTTTCTTATTTATAGGTTGAACTTAAAACAATGGCCTTTAGTTAGCTGGATGGCAAGGCATCCACTAAATTTTCCAAACCGCAAACTGTCATACAATCTCACAGAGGTATTAAAATCGGCAACTTCACGCTCTACCATTTCTGGCACTCATCTTGTGCTACCGCCATTTTTTTATAATTTAAATGGGTTCTGCAAAAGGCGCATTACAGTGTAATGAGCCCAATAAAAACTGAATTGCCTTTCAAAGCATGCATTATTAGTAGTATTTTTTGGTGCAATATCTGAGCTTCGACTTCAAATGTAACTAAAGTGCCTATATTAAGCTAATTATTAGTTTCATCATAAATTATTGTAATTTGTATTGCAAGGTTGTCTCCGTGGCGCAATCGGTTAGCGCGTTCGGCTGTTAACCGAAAGGTTGGTGGTTCAAGCCCACCCGGGGACGTTTCGTTTTTGCTTCGACTAACATATTTGATAGCATGATAGTACTTTTTTATCATAAGCAATAACATGATTACATCAGTATTAGCGAAAGTTTTCGAAGAACTCAGCGTAATACATGTATACTGTGTACACCTAATTGAAAAAAAATATTATATAAACCATAAATTATATCACACCCAATGGTTTTCTGAGAAGCGGGAAATTTACCTTCATTTTCAGATACCGTGTGCTTTAAATAATAACACAGTATGCCTAAAACATGAAAAACTTTTGAGAAGGAAAAAACTGGAATATCAATAAATGGAATATAAACAAGCCTGCCAGTGCTGCCCTCCCAGAATTCCAATGTGTCATATCGTTCTTGGTCTGCTTTTTACACGACAAAGTTTCTTCCATTTGGTGTATACGTTGTAACACCATCGTCAGTACTTGTTAGATGTTATAAAAGAACAAAGAAATAATAAGTTCCTAAGAAACTGTCAATTTGGGAGAAGGGAAGACCCGACACTGACTTTTCACACTGCTAGACACTTTTCACACTGCTGAGCGCATGGAGTATGATGCATGGGAA